CTGRCTGCTCCCAGATGTTTGCATCTCATTTCTTGTGGAAAATTGCACTGGAGGGCTTTGCCTGTGTCTGGAGGGTAGGAGACTTGCTATTTGCATCAGGTGCTCCTGACTCTGAAGATGAGTCCAGGGCAAGCTGGTGCAGAAGAGGCAGTGAGAGACCAGGATCCAGAATGCAGATCCTGCTGGCTTTGCTCTTGGGATTGTCAGACGTGTAGGGAACAATTGGTAGGATCAAGAGGGCAGCACCTACACGAGCTCACATTCCTTTTCCATCCTTGGGTTTCGTTTGGAGCAGATGTGTTTCTGCTCTGCCAGTTTCTAAAACAGTCACGCATACACAAGTGTGCCAAGAGATTTAAGTGCCTGGGAATGCTGGTAACTCAGTATGGCTAAATTCCTATCAGCAATTAGCTTCTGTAATGGGTTTTCCTGTGTGTGTAATCGCTTGTGCGATTTATGTTCCCTGTGTTGAATTAAGTCTGCGCAGAAACCTGGCCTGGCTTAGCAAGTCTCAGTCTCTGTGTGTGCTGCTGCTGGAAGCATCCCTTGGCAGCCCAGGTCCAGCTGCAGCTCCCAGGTAGAGCTGAGGTGGTTTTTGCAGGTTTTGTGTTCTTGCTGATGGTCTTGCTTTTCACATTGGGTGGCATGTGGCAGGTTCCTTCTGTTAATTAGAACAAATGTGCCAATTATGCTAATGCATCTYCCGATACTAATCAGTGAATGATTAGACACAACATATCTGTCTCCCACCAGGGAGCGGGGTGACAGAGAAGGCGCTACAAGGCATGTTGTTTTAAATTGCAGCCACTTTGGTTCGTGCCCTCCCCAGGCGGTCACAGGGGTGGCTCGATCTCCTGCAGGCTCGCTTGCCAGCCCATTAGCAGCTCTGGACGGGCAGATCCAGTGCAGCTGGCAGGAGCCCTGTGCCTCACAGCTCTGCAAGTTGCATCCAGAGTGCTCAGGAGCTCTGACCAAAAGGTAGCTGGCTCCAGGCGTGCTCCAGCTTCTCAGCATCTGCCGATTCTGTTGGTCAGGATTTCATTCACCACTCACACCTCAGCTGACAGGCCTTCTCTTGTTAGTCAGTTTGCAAACATATAACAAAACCTTCTTGAGAAGAAAACTAACAACAAGAAAAGGGGGTTTGTGTTTGCTTCGTTCCAGGGGGTTGATATATGAGAAAAAATCTTGTGTATGTTGTAATTTTCCATAGCTGTCATCCCCCAGAGGGTACACTTAACCCATCCTTCATGGTATAATTGTTACCAATTAAATGATTGCTGTTATGATAAAGGAAAACTGATCCCATGMTTTTTCTACATATATGCATGACCATCAGTACATTTATCAATAACAGTTGGAGGGATGTGCCTGATTTAATTGAATACACCAAGCTAGGTTCAAGAATTGTTCTGATTACAGCTGGCAAATGTGCATCCTTAATATTTAGACAAAAGCAAACATCTGCTCTAAAACATGTCCAGAGAGATGAAAAMTTGAGGCATGAGGGTGTGATTTGGTATGACCTTGAAGTCAKGYTTTTGTGCACTTTGAAGTGCCCCYGGACATCCTGCTGCTCCTCTGTCCACTCTCCTGCAGGTGTAGAGGTCTCTGGCACAAAAGTGTCCAGTGCCTTATCTGCCAGTAGCTATTATTGAGGCTGCAGAATTAAATTCAGGGTAAGTTTCTGCACTGACTGGATTAACAGCCTGTTTCAGCAAGGGGGTTGCACCTTGGGGAATGACATGGCATCAAAAGARATGGTTGCTTTTAACTTCGGCAGTAACAGTTCGCATACTTGTCACTCATAAATCACACTGTCTCGTCCTGATCGCTTCTCTTCTGTGTTTGACACCTGATCTCTTCCTACTTACATGACAGAACAACCCTACTCCCACCCACTCTAGCTACCTCAAGAAAAAAAAAAAAACAAACAAATAAAAATCTGAGGTTTGGAGGTGCCGAGCACTGCAGTCACCTGTACCATAAAAAATGGGGCCGATAGCAATTGAAAGTAAGTACCAACAACAATTKCACATGTTGTAGTGTGTTTAATTAGTTCCCATTTCTACAAGGACTGAGGGAGAGAACACAGCCACTAGGGGGGTGTGCTCTTTTTTTGTGTTGCTCTGCTGATGGCTAAAATGTGTGTGAAAGGAGACTCCCACTGCTTTGTTAAATCATCCATCAGCTCCTTCCTTCAGATCTGACATTAGAGTCTGCAACATTAACAGACATCATAAAAACCATAAAAACTGAATTAGATATATTAAAGAGATACCCTGTAAAGGAGATGGCATTTAGACSTGCACACAGAGTACTGATCTACTGGCAGAAGAAAAAAAGACATCCTGTTGTTCTTCAAACTTTTAGTGTTAGCAAATTCCKTCAGACATTAGGAGAAAAGAGACGGTTGGAGGGGTTTTGGTGTAGAGCCAGAGGCAATATACTGAATTAGACAGAGCTGCTTTGTTTTGGTGGGGTGTTTTTGTTTGTGATTTTTTTTTTTTTTTTTTATTGGCAGTTTCTCTTTTTAAATTCTTTGGTGGTTTTGCAGGGATGATAGGGAATTCAATGCTTACAGCTTTAATTTTGTCTAATCATTTGAGACTCAGACTGAATATGCATGTGTGGTTTTGTGGAGAGAGAAAATGTTGTAAAGTAGTAGAAGAAAAGAACCCTGTATTTGGGCATGGAGCTTTCAGGGTGCCAAAGGCTGCTAGAGTGCATGCAGACCCAACCTGCAGTTGAGGAAGGAGCTAAATATTGCCATTGACTGAACAAGAATCTGTCTGTCTTGATTATACCTGAAACCTATTAGCATTCAAGAAAGGCGGAAAAAAATATCTTAGTCATTCTGTCAAGGAAAAGCAGATTATTGACTAAGAGCTTGTATCTTCCGTGGTGAAACATGATTGTGATAGCAACAGAAATGCAGCTTCCAAAGTTTTACGTCTTTTTCTTCCTTCCCTGTTCCTTGCAGATGCACATATCCTTTTCCAGAGCCCTTCTTACACCACCAGCTTTAGCTACGCGGTATCGACAGCTGTGAGGCTGCCACATCCCAGGGTGATTTGCTGTGGGAGAGAGTGGTTTAAATCAAGCCTTGCCTTCCCTGGAGCAATGGCTCTACATTGACTGAGGTGTAAATCTTTGGAAGCAGCTCACACCTGGCATGCATCCACCCAAACTGGGGTAGTGGGGCTGGAGCTGCTTAAGGCAGGGCTAAAGATGGGGAGTGGGTGGTGGGTGCTGTAATCCAAGCTCACATCCACCAGCACTGGTCTTGCAGCATTGACTGGCTTTGTCTGAGGGGGATTTGAGCCCTCTGTGTCAAACACCAGGAGTAGTCATCGTTTTTCCTCACCATAGTTTGGGGCAGTCTCAGCTGTCTCCGGTGGCTTTTGGGGTATCTCGATGGTGGGGTAGCTCCTCAAATGTCTTTAGAAACGTGTTGTGTGAAAGCAGGTCTCAACAGCTCATGCCTCACAAGTCCGGTGGGTTGATTGTGTTTGTGTTTTTCTTCCTTTAATTAATTCCTGGGCACATGCTGAAGTGATCCAGTGACCTGAAGGCCCAGCTTTGATCCATCCAGGGCCCCAGTCCTGTCCTTCAGCATACTCGGTTCAAATGAAAATGAGCTACTAGATTTGCAGCCAAATTGTATTAGAGTGGCTCACAGCAGTCAGCTGGGGTATAACAGGGTGTTTTCATAGGAAGGCAATAAAGAGAATATTGTCTAGATTAAAAACCACATACGAAAATATTTTTCCATGCAACCAAGGAAATCATGCTTTATTAAAATAAAACATAGCTTACACAGATGAAAAGGAAAAGCAAGCATGGATGTCCTTGTGATTTCCTATTTTGACTGACTCTATTTTGTAACTGACTCTATTTTGTTTCATTCTGATTGAAGCAAGMCAATGACATGCATGTGCATGTGAGTGTAAATATACCTAAAAACATTGGGGTTTGTGATTTGTTACTGCAATCCACTCTGATATGGGGCCTTGTTGTTTTAGACCCAGGGCAGGTACACTCAAGGTTAGTGCRTTATTAACTGCCTAATTAGGCAAGATAGGGAAAAGAATGCATGAGATCTGAATGCTGATTTATAGTTTCTGATGTGGCAAGAGGATTTTCTGCTTGTAGATATGCTCCTAAGGTATCACCCTTTCCTTCTGTCTTGCTTCCGAGTCTGAAAGCATAGATCAGCTTTTTTCATAGATCAGCTGGACTCCATCCAGTCCCTGGCAGCCTTTGAAAATGCATTGATGTTTTCAAGGCAAGGCAAGACAGGACAGCTGTTGTGTGGACTGGTGAGAGGAAAGGGGACTAGAAGGAAAGGGTAGGCATGCAGGGTGTTCCCCTGTCTTTCTGCCCTGGTGTTATATTTTGATGCCAAAATCCAGCTAAAACCTAAAACAGACTAGACAAAATTAAGAGAATAAAAAGCAGTKCTATTTATTGAAGGGCCTTCAGGTACATTTAGGGCAGTCACAGCTCACCCAGGGGCTACACCCAAAAGGGACAATTGGTYACAAGTTTTTCACACTTYWTAAGTTTTGTCCATTTGCMTATCGARGTTAATCCTCCAATTACAGATTCAGGTAATGAAGTCTTTCACTCTGAGTTTGCTTCCCCCAATATGTTGTTTATGTATCTTGGAGTCTGAGATAGTAAKGTGTCCTTGAGTTTCAGGCCTAGAGARGAATTCTTTYGTCTAAAAAATGGRAGAACAGTAGCTTAGCACTATGTATGGAGTCTGGAGTTATACACTAAAGAATTACAGGATTACAGATACATGAAAAATAGGGAAACTAGACTCCTAAGGCATCAATTTCAGTTGGTGACATGCRTCAGGTGAGTCCTCTGCCATGTGCTTTGACTATAGTGTTTTCTGGGATGTGTAGTGTAATCACAGGTACTGTGTCTGTCCATATTGGTGTGACTTGGTGCTGACYACCGCCTCCCCTCTGGCCCTTTGAAACCCCAAGGTGGAGTGGCTGAAGAACGAAGAGGTGATTGAYCCCGTGGAAGACCGAAATTTCTACATCACCATTGATCACAACCTGATCATCAAGCAAGCCCGGCTCTCTGACACAGCCAACTACACCTGTGTGGCAAAAAACATCGTGGCCAAGAGRAAGAGCACCACAGCGACTGTGATAGTCTATGGTGAGTGATGCCTTGCATGGTCACACGTGGATGGACACACACTCGGAGCCAGAGGTGGGTGGAAGGGGGATGTGCAATGCCTGTGTACAACTCTGGCCGTGGTCAATGTCCAGGCTGGGCTGCCTGTGCCATCAAGGGCAAATGCAGTTCATAGACACACAACCCAGCTTTAAAATAAACAWCAGGGGAATATAAAGCATGGGATAGCATTGTTCTGTGTCAGCATCCACAGTCCTGGTATGACAGTCTGGCCATACTTTGGCTGGGAAAGGATGAGATGCCTTTCTGGAGTCTCTTCCCACCTGTGTTGTGCCGCAGCTCTGCCCCACCAGTCCAAGCCTTTGCCCCTGTAGAGTTTATTGCCCCAAATGCATTCCAGGTGGGGGTGTCCACCAGAACAAAACCTGCTCTGATTATGTGCCAGCTGACTGAACTGGTGTTTCTTACAATCAGCTTAATTATAGGATAGACAAGTAGGAAAAAGATCCCTATGATTATCCCTAATATTCATTTCATATTCAGGGTAGCAGTTAGATTTAATTGTAAGCAGTTGCTTCTCTGAAGTTACAATGAGGGCTTTTTACTTCAGTTTTTATAGAAAACTGACTGAATTGAGTTGATTAGCAGTGTTTTTGATAGTGAGGGATGGACCATGCAAGAGCACCGTGTTTTGTAACTGAGATGAATGCAGAAACATAAAGATGTAGGCGTACAACAACCCTTCCTCATACATACACGGAATATTTTTCGAAAGTGTATTCAAGAGACGTGTAGGGAGCAGGCATTTTCATGGGTTTTGCTGCCAGAGCTGCTTAAGGCTTGTGTCATATCACAAACATTTGGGTTTAGGGAATCCAAGCAGTAAGTATGTTATTACCCATACTCTGACAACAACATTTTTATGTAGAGCAGCACAACTCCTTCTTTATGCATCCATCTATCCCATAAACTGAGGTGGGTGAAAAAAAAGAGTCAGTGAAAAAGACAGTCAACATAAATATCTTCCCAGGGATAAATATCTTCCCAAAGTCCAACAGAAAAAAAATGCATTTAGTGTTAGCTCATTCTAAAAAGCTTAAATATCTGTTAGGGAAGTGCTGGGACATTCCTGTGTGCAGCAGCTGTGTCCATAGAGGGGTGAGTGAAGTTGTCCTGACATCCTGAAGTCATCTTCCTGAAAGAAAGGAAAATTCTCCACATCTAATCAAAGCATGGGGGTCTCTCAGCATACACAGGTGATGGGTGTGCCTGAGAATTAGCGGGAGTGCAGGTTATCTCCCTTTGGAAATGGTCCTGCTTTCAGGGTGCAGGCTTCTGACTCTCCGAACCTGCAGGGATCTTGATCTTTTACACTCCACCAAAAGGTTAAGCCCAGGTCAGCTTGGTTTTCAGGATAAGGCAGGTCACCTGCCAGCCCTGGTAGTCATCAAGTGATGGTTTTCATTCAGCATCAGCATTTATTCAACCTGTACAGGGTTTGTGCCTGTTCAGTGCTGCTTCTTGTGCCATCTCTTGTGGCCACTGYTGGAGGCAGCTGGGCACAGCACCAGGAGCACCTTGGGGCTGCCCAACTGGGCTGCTGGAGTGACCGTGCTGCTGGTGTGACCATACTGCTGCTGTGACTGTGCTGCTGGAGTGACCATGCTGCTGGAGTGACCGTGCTGCTGGTGTGACCACACTGCTGCTGTGACCATGCTGCTGGTGTGACCGTGCTGCTGGTGTGACCACACTGCTGGTGTGACCGTGCTGCTGCTGTGACCATGCTGCTGGTGTGACTACACTGCTGCTGTGACCATGCTGCTGGAGTGACCATGCTGCTGGAGTGACCATGCTCTTTCTCTCTTGCTTTGCAGTGAACGGAGGCTGGTCCACTTGGACYGAGTGGTCAGTRTGCAACAGCCGCTGTGGGAGAGGCTTCCAGAAGCGCACGAGGACCTGCACCAACCCTGCCCCGCTCAACGGAGGTGCCTTCTGCGAGGGACAGAGYGTCCAGAAAATAGCTTGCACCACTCTGTGTCCAGGTTCAGTATGAACAGCACACAGCTCACATTAATMATTTGGCTGTCATCAGTCATTTCATGAACATGCAGTTGCAAAAGCCTCCTTCTCATTATTAATAAATCCCACATTTCAGGGAGTTAATATGCAATTGTATTGTGTAAGTGGATAAAATAGTGAGCACATCATATCAAGCTCTTCTTTTGCACACTGCTTGCACTGTTGTCTCAGCCCTTATAATTCAGGGATTTTGGGGAATGTTCAGAGATTCAAAATGCAGAAGACAAAAGTTGAACAATCTGGAAAAGAATTGGAAATTGGATATAGAAAGCAACCATGATGTAAATATATTTGAAATGTCTGTTCAGTCCAGCTGTCTCAGCAAGTAAAGCATCTGGGATGTGGATATTAAATTTGAGGCAGATGTTTACCTGACATACACAATCCTCAAATACAAAGGCTTTTTTTTTTTTTGCAAAGAGATGTGTATCCATACTTTTAGAAGTTATTTAGATGTAAACTTCTGAAAAATACAAAATGGTTTCAGAACATTCAGTGTAGTTGGTGACTTGTCTCTGATAAAATTCTGCCATCTGTCCTGTTGTCCATTGCTCTCCTACTACTACTGACCCACTCAAATTGATGGCAGCATRGTCATCTTCAGCTTGTGAAGTTTTAGTAATCCAGCTCTGTCACAATTTCATATTTTGTTCTACAKCTATTCAGTTTAGTGCTTTTGAGAATCATTTACAGGATTTTGAAAGGTGCTAAACACATTCCTGGTTCCGCTCATGTGAAATTGATTGGTGCCTCTCAGTCTTTCTTTTAAYAGGGAATATTAACATTAAATCACAGATTCCTGATTTGGTGCTTGTACACTTTAAGCACAGATAAACTGSTTAGAAGTTTATATAAAGGGGAAGAAAGACTAGAATGGGGCCAGGGCAGAGAGAAAGGAGATGTGGGGGTAAATGTGCATTTACAGAACAGAAGAGCAGGCTGGTGATTCTCCTGCCTTGCTGRGAATGGCTGGGAGTTGCAGGCTGGATTGTGCCAACATATTCATCGCTTTCTCTTGGCCTCACTTTTGTGCACCCCCTAACAAGCTGTGTCCTTTCCTTGTCTCAGTGGATGGCAAGTGGACATCCTGGAGCAAGTGGTCCACCTGTGGCACGGAGTGCACCCACTGGCGCCGGAGGGAGTGCACAGCCCCAGCGCCCAAGAACGGGGGGAAGGACTGCGAGGGGCTGGTGCTGCARTCCAAGAACTGCACTGACGGGCTCTGCATGCAGGGTAAGTGCTGAATACGGGGTCTGGGATGTACGTGGCTACTACAAAACCCAAAACAGCTGCAGATCAGCACTGATGGCCTATAGTCACAAAACCATTTGCAGGAGAAATGAGTTCATCAAGTTCTCAACAAGAGACACTCCACTCTTTGTGCTTGGAATATAGACAGTGAAGAATTAGAAAGTGCCATRASAGAGCCTTCTGCTGGCCCTCCCCAYRAAACAGCCCTCCTCTCTACAGTCAGCATCTGTCCAGAGAAGCTTGGCAGTAGCTCTTACAGCACTGCAAATAATAAAAAAAAAGAGCATTTAGGGCAAAGCTAGCATTTTCCAAAGAGTGAACTTGGCCAGGCAGATCGGCTTCTGGCTTCTTACTGTCAGGAACAGCGGTTGCATGTGTTTCTATTCGTAATTGTTATGGCCCTTTTTTGAATTTCGGGTGCCCTGTGGTAAAAGGAGGTACACTGCATCAACACAATRCTGACGCAAACTTCATATCTGGTCACCAGCATGCTACAGCTTCATGAAGATCAGCTCCTGCACTGAAACCTATTCTGCTTTTGCCTATCCCTGCCACAAGCCTGGCTTTCTGACTAATAGAGAGAGAAGTAAAGAAAAGCAGGTTTTAAGTGTGATTCTGGCATACGCTGATGAGCAATTAATCTGCTCTGCACTCAGTCCCTTCTTAGAAATGAGGTCTTCTCTGGTCTGCTGGTACATCAAAACTCCCTTTCACGTTTCATTAGTACAATAACCTGATCCAAAAACCACACATGCACCTCTTTGCTGTTCCTTCATTCTGTCTCTTTGCAGCACTTCCCTGTGTCGAGCCTCAGCTCTCTATTGTGGCTRTAGCCATCCAGTCCCTATGTGTCCAGATCATGAAATGCTTTGAGTTCCATCACAAAAAAGGAGTAAAGAACTTCTATTTTCTGAGGCAGGTTACTTTTGACTGAAATAGTCATGATGACAGAAAAGTGGCACTACCAGCTAATAACTAGGTCTGCTCTTTGAATAGGTGCTCTGTAGGATCATTGCGATGTTGGTTGTGATCTCTGAGCTACCCTTGTGGCACAGCATGGCCATTTGCTCTGAGGTTTACCACATTTACAAATATCTCTCTCAGTAGGGCTCACACAAGCATTTTCATCATGTTAAAAGCTATTAGTCAATGTCAGCAGCCTATGAAGCTGTAATCCCTTAAAACATTTGTTTTATGGTGAAAATGGAAAGGTGGAATTCAGAGCTCCTCTCTTTTTCATTTCTAAAGATAGGAAAAGGCAAATCCACTCATGCCTTACTATATAATATCTTGGTGACTTTTATTGTGAGGAAGCTGACGTACCCCTAGTTCCAGCAGTGTTAATAAGTCATTATGGCAAATTAGGAGGAAAAGATGCATTTCCCCATACAGAAGAGCTCTTTGCTATCAGATTATATTTAGACAGGTGTATGTCATCTTTGTGTATGTGCATAAAGAGAGCCATTTAAGTAGAAATCTTGTGGAAAAGTAGATATAATAGTACAGCAGAATAAAAGCCCTGTAGGGATCTCATTTATCTGTTGATGGTATATTGCATTTTATTTGTGGAAGTGGATGCTGAGTATAAAGCAGAGGTCTTCAGCGGGAGAGAGGGCGAAAGTTTTGTGAATCCCATTCTGCTTCATATATATGTATATAAAAAATGGTAATGAAAAATATGCAGTCACGTAATGACCTGCTTCGCTGCAGGGGCCGTGATAATCCTTCAGTGCTGGAATTTAATGGCAGTGTTTTAATGGTGTCTTTATACTCGGGGGGTTTCATATACCTGTAAAACTTCCAGTCCTGCTTCCCRATCCATCACTGCTGAGAAGATTGATTTGCTGTACTTCATGGCAGTGTGCCTGCTGTCTCGCTCTTTCTCCCTCCCTCTCTTTCTCTTTATTTCTCTTTCCCAGTTTATGCAAAACCAATCTGAACACTTATATTTTTGCCCWTGTGGGTTTAGATTCATAGAAAATCTGCCTGCTGAGCCAGGAAGACACGCAGCACTCACTCCTTTCATTCCTAAAACAACATGCTTTCCACATTATTTGAGGTTTTGAGGATCTGCTCTGTAACTGACAGTTCTCCTAGACTGGGCACCTGTAGATTCACAGTGGTCTTTTCCAGTGGCTCCATGCATGGCACATGTGGCATGGAGGAAGCTGCAGCCACCTTTTCTCTGTGGCCACAGCCCTCTGGGAGATCTGTTGGCCAGCTGCTTACCTGCACCRTAGTCAAATCCTGTTCCTAAGTGCCCTGGGACTGCCTCCTTGCTGTCAGTCTTTAGTGAGAGCTTGAGGGTTGACACCATGGGTGTGGTTGAGGTAGGCAGATGCTCTTGCCAAGAGTCACCAGCCTGTTGCTTTGACAAAAAACTCTCTTGTAAATATATATCTCTATGTAGCTGCATGTAAAAGATATCCTGGAAAATGCTGGATTGAACGAGTCTAATTTACAAGTCCTTTCTGTTCCAGTCTATTATTCACTTCAGTAGCATCAGCTGGWTAAATCAATAAGCTCTTTCATCAGACTGCCCCTGCTCCAGCAAAGAGCACGAGTCTGCACCACTATCGATTTCTGTGAGGATAAAAACAGTGGAGCTTTCTCCATCCCTTGTAATTACAGTATTTTACACCCAAAGCTGTTGTTTGTGCTTACCACTAGCTGTGGCATTTCTCATGCAACTCTGTTGTTGCATTTATTCAGACTAATCACCTTGCTAGTACACATGTACTCTCCTTTATCCAGTAGTTAGTATTTTTCCTTTAACATGAAGGGATGAACAGTCATTAAATGAGAGAGCCCACAGAGAGACAGCAGGCTGAASGGAAGAGGAGAAGCAGATGTGGTGAAAATTTAGGGCAGTCATTGCTATTTTAAGTTTTCAAGTACACAATATTGTTTAGCTGTTCCCATTATAACAATTTCATAATTCCCATAATAGCATTAATACGTTCTTCTGGAACAAAATCTGCTGTAGGTGGAGGAAGAATTGGCTGGTTACCACCCACACTAGCTGCATTATTGCCTCCGTAGCTGCATTATTTCCCATTTGATGTACGAGTACTCTGGTAAATACTTCAGTGCAAGGAACAACACTTTTACAGGCACGCACTGCTTCTCACAGGGGATTGCTATAAACTGAAGCACTGCAATTAGCCCTTCACTCGTTCCACCTAATGACTTCGGTGGGTGTTCTGGGCAGGGAACAAGAAAGCAAAGCACTCTYCTCCTTGGCTCAAACTTCAGTACAAATAGCTCCCTTCACTAGGTCACAAACATTTTTAAAGCAACATACAAACGGAAGTGTTTTGCCAGACTCGGTCTGGAATGAGTGTGAGATCATTTGTGTGGTACAAAACAGATGTTTCTGCTGTGCATTATGTGTAAAATTCTGCTGATAATCAGGAAGAGGTGGACAGCCTGTGAGGAGAGTTATCTGTGCTGCATGTTTATGTTGAAGGTTTATTACCTGAGTTGGTGAAGGCTTATTACCTGAGTTGTGACATGCAGCTGTCATGCTCACAGCATGTCACATACATCCTTTCAGCTGAGATTCTCAAGTGAGTGTTCAGATCTGTGTTGTCCTTGTCCTGAATGAACGAGTACAGCATGTCCATGGGCATGAGGCTGGTGCCTGCTGGTCTTTTCATCTTTTCTGCAATCATGCCTGGGACCTGCAGGGTTGGCAGTAGCACAGTCAGAGGGAGACAACCAGTGCCCCTTTTTCAGCTCACTTTTGGCTTTAGTCAACCACTGTGGTTTTTCATAAAAGGCTGGCTTAGTTGTGCTTTCAGGTTTTTCCAAAACACAAAGCCAAATGTCCTACAGGCAAGGTTRTACTGAGGGACATGTTTCTTGAGGACTATGGGTTACATAGCTACACAAACTTGTTGCTCTATGAAGTGGAATTGTTTGCTTTATACAGTCTCACATAATGGAATAAAAATCTATCATTGAATAAGGCCAAAAGGAAATTTCCACCTGTGAGTCGTTATAGCAGATGCAGCACTTGAGGAAAAGGTACCATACCACGGTAAAGATGTTATTATCACACTAGTAATTCTAGTCCTTCTTTTAAAAAGGCTGCCTTCTGGTCAGGAGTGCATTGATGTGCAATGGTGACAGCAGATCGGTCCTTGCTGAGGGCTCTGAAATCCTTGTCTGAAAGGCAGCATGAAGTTCATAAGGTTCCTTCTTGCCATGGTAGTGCCTAAGYGAGTGGAAAAGATGCAGTTTATCCTGCTTGGGCATGAAATGGCAAACTGCTGCCCTTTTCCAGTCTTGTTTCTGTTTATAAACAGGTCCTGAGTAGAAAGCAAGGTTAGCCTGATACCAGCATCTCTTTCTTCCCAAAACATACATATTCTGCGCATGCCCTGCTTGGTTAGGTTAATATAACCTGTCAGAAGCTCTGATGGAGTAAGTATTTGTTTCCCTTTTTGGCTTGATTTGAAAGCAGGCATTCAGGGAAAAATTACAGGGCAGAGCAGCTTGATGAGGACCACAGGTCCACCAGCGCAGATCAGTGTGCAAAGAGCAGGGGAATGTTTTCCWGAATCCAGAAGGTAAGCATAACCCTCTCAAGGGACACTGCAACAAAAGCTGGTGTGTGCAGAGGAATGAAAAAAAAATGTTTTATTAAGAGCATGTGGGTCAAAAGAAAACTTCTAGTACATTCAGTGTGTCAGCATAATGATACAGCCACCTGGCCTATTTTGGCCTTGCAGGGGCAGTTCATTCATTTGAAAGAGGCATCTCATCTGTTCCTAGAGAAAATTTTCAGTAATATTTTATTTGATATGAGTAAAGGGATGCGTTATTCTGTTTTCTACCCAACTACTATGTAATGGTGTGGCAGTTGAGGGAGTTTATGCACACATCTCRGAGTTACGACTCATCTCTGTTTTATTGTAGCGACATGAAAAATCCCCAGCTGAGAAAATCTGATGGGCCCTTTACATCTGAGACCTCTT